ACTTCCCCTTCCCACTGCCCAGGGGCCATGGAGCTAATAAATGCAGGGACATGAGCTCCATACCGCAGGAAGCCAGCCTGGCTCCTTGCACATCCCAGGTACAACTTCCACCAGCTGTTTCCCAAACACCCACCAAGGCCGCAAGGACGGAATAGGCAAGGGAGTGTGGATGAATTGATACAGGCCTTCCCCACTATGAGAACAGCAGCCCAATGGGCATATTTGGGATGACTGCCAATTTGGGAGGAAGAGACAGCCAAGCCCCCTATGCTTCAAAGGAGCAGGACCCCATTTTCCTGCACATCATTACCACTCCCCCACCCACTGCACTCCAGCCGCAGGGCCTTTGCACATGCTGTTTCTTCCTTCAATGTTCTTCCCTCCCCTCATTCACCTGTTAATGCCTACACAAATGTCACTTCCTCAAGGAAGTCTTTCCTGACCCTAGTTAAGATCAGGTACCTTGCGGTATGATCTTACAGCTCCCTGATCTCTCCATCAGAGCAAGTAATACTTAATGTAAAGATTAATTTCTTAGTATTAATGTCAGACTTTCGCAGGAGACTGTAAACTCCATGAGGGCAAGACTTGCCATTGTGTGAGTTACCATTGTGTCCTCAGAGTCATGTGCCTAGTACATAGTAGGTATTTAACAAACATTCATTGAATGAATGAATGAATGGTTGGATTAATTTTGTGCCTCTCCTACTGTCCAGTGGCACCCACAAACTCTGCCAGGCCCCAGACACTGATTGGCCAGGCTGCGGGGCTGCCCCATGCCTAGCAGTGTCCCAGAATAAGACAATCCAGGGCCTTCCCACCTGACTTCTGTTACCACGTCAGGAGTCAGGATTCAGCATTGGAAAGAGAATCACAGAGTGGCCTTGGGATATGTGAGGGGAACAAACCACACAACCTAGAGGATGGAGAGCCACCAGCATCATGCACAAACCTGCACACGCACACACATACACACTCATATATGTGCAGGTAAATGTGTATATCATATGTATACACATATCTGAATGCATGTAGTTGCATTATGTATCTGCACATGTGCGTATGTACACACACATGTGTGTATATTGTATACACATACCCCTGAGTGAGCATAGTTGCAAACACATGTATATGCGCAAGCACACAAAAGCATGCCTGCACACCCCCCCCACAAGCACACCTCACATGCCCACAAATACACATGTGTGGGTGCACACGCACCCCTGCACAGCCCTCCCCTGTGTGGTCACCCCTCAGAGGCCGGGCTCCTGATGACATTCACCCTGCATTCTCCCTCCTTCCAGGAAGCCTTTTCTTTTCTTTTCTTTTCTTTTTTTTGTGGCTGGCCAGTATGGGGATCCAAACCCGTGATCTTGGTGTTACAAAGCTGTGCCCAGGAAGCCTTTCCTAATGAAGACAACTCTGGGCTGTCTTGGGACTCCTGCTTCCCTGAACAAAGTGCTCAAATCTCCGTGACCGAGTCTCCACCTCAATGAAAAAGCTCACATAGCTCTGACCCCTGAATGGCTTGGGACCCAGAGAGGTGGAAATTTGCCCGGTGGTGCCAGAGGTTCGTGAGGGTCCAGAGTGTCACCCAAGGACACATGCCTGGAGCAACTCTGTGGCCTGTCCCCTGGGTACTGCAGACTACTTTCCATCTCCTCTCTACCCTTAGCTCTGAACACTGCTGAAAGGACAAGTCTCAGTGTTCCAACACAGAAGTTTCTGGATGGGCAGCCCCGTGGTTAAGAGCTTGTGGCTTGGGATGGGGAATCTTAGTAGTAATCCCCGTTCAGTTACTTACTAGTCCTGAGTCCCTGAGCAAGTTACTTAAACTCCTGAGCCTCAGTTTCCTTATCTGTAAAGTGAGAATGACAACATCTACCTAACATGTTGAAAGTAATGCACATAAAGAACATGGTTACAGTTAGTACTTAATAATGACAGCTGTTATAGCAGTAGTAGTAGCAGCCGTAGTAGAAATAGTAATAGTTGTATCAGTCCTCAGAGGTCATCTCAGCCATCCCCTGCCACTAAGCACGAGTGCCCCAGGCACTAAGTCTGGAAGCGACCACAGACGCGTGTTAATCTCTCTTCTCTGTTTTACCACTGAGTTGCTAAGAAAGAAGCAGCTTCTGCCCCACTCACTCAAGTCCACCAGAGCAGAGCTGGGGCACAAGGTCAAGGCTTTGAACTCTAGGTCCCCACTCTTTCCCCTCCACCAGTAGAAACTCATTTTGCTGTAACTGGGGGCTCTAAGGCCCCAGAAACCTGGGCTGGGGGAGCCCAGAGAGCAGGGGGGTGCGGTCTGCCCTCCCCGCTCCAGCCGGATGCCCAGGCCGGTGGCGACAGCCCCTCCTATTCCAGCTTCCCCACCCCACTGTTAAACTGCTACCTTCCCGCAGGACAGGTGACCAGCCACAGAAGCAGGGCCACGCTGGGGAGGGCGGCAGGAGAGGCCCTCACAGCAGGCTCTGCTCCAGCCTTCAGTGTAAATTAAAACATTTTCCTTTTCTTCATAATTTTTTTCTTGACACAACTGCCCATGAAACATTTTAATAACATCCCAGAAAAGGTCAGAGAGAAGGAATTTCACAGTCCCTGAGCAGGCAGCTGTAACTTCAGCCCCTCTTGTGGCAAAGGAGGTGGAGAGATCGGGCTGACCCCGGCTCCGAGTGGAGAATGGCAGGGTGGGGGGAGGCGGGGCAGGGCGGTGTGGGTGCTGAGGCCGGGAAACTTTCTCTGGAAGCACCCTGGGGAGATGCGGAGATGATGGGGCGGGGCGGGGTGGGGATCATCCAGGATGTGTTTACATCCTTTTTACAGCAACCTGGGGAGATAGCATGCCCATTGTGCAGGTGAGGAAATGATGGCTCAGAGTGACGCAGACAGACCAGCAGGCAGCAAAGGCAGGGAGACCAGGGCCCACACTGTCTCCCTGCAGGTCCTGAACTCCTGAAGACACACAGTCCTGCTGTGAGAGCTTATTGTTGGGTGAAACAGCCTCTCTATCTTCAGAGTTCCACAAACCCAGGGAGTGGGGTGTTGAGCAGAAGGTGGGTAAGGCTTGGACAAAGGCACCCAGGGACTGGAGCTGGCTGGATCTGTCATCCCTGGGCAGATCCACAGCAGACACAGAGGAGGCTGAGCTCCATCTGCCAAATATGTGGAGGGGGCCTGGGAGAGGGACCAGAGGTGGGTCAGGTGGGTACGTAGCAGGTACAGGGTCTGCTCCAGCTCTGGATAAAACCTGGTCCATGGGGCTTGGCTCACATCCACCAGAACCTGCTCACCAGTCCAGCCCCAGACTGGATCGGGCCCGACACACCTGTCCTTGGTGCCACCAGCCAAGGGATGTCCCTTGTCATGCTTCACAACTTATCCCTGCTCTGTAGGTTCCCCCCATCCCTTCCCTGGGGCCATGGGAACTTTGGACTGCAAAGTGAGAAACTCTGTCCCCAGCAAGAATGCCAGGAAGGAATGCCCTGGTACCCACCAAGCCTGGACCTATCACTAGGATTCTCTGCCATATGGTCCCAGACCTGTGGGGGATGGGGCCTCCACCCACCGTGAGGCCCCTGAAGCACAGGCTACTCTATGCCCTTCACCCTGACATTCAAAGGTGGGTGGTGGGATGAAGACTCTCTTTGAGTCTAGAAGGCCAGAGCCTCTGGCACTTGCTCTCTGGCTGGGCCCAAGAGGCTAGAGGATGGTCCAGGGAGCCTCTAGTACCTTGTGACTTATTGCAGGGAGCACCTTGGTGAAAGCTGGGGGAGCCACAGGCTGGGGAGGCAGGGGGTGGAGAAAACAGATGCAGCAGACTTTATTGTTTGCATCCAACGGTCTGTTGGAAATATTGATAACTGTCAGATGGGAAGGGCCTGGGGGCCCAGTGCAGTTTCATACCATCTGTCTGTAGAGTAAACACACTTTGCAGCGAGGCCTGATATCAGCAGGCAGTGTCTCTTCTTGGTGTGGGGATGCAGCAAGAAATGGAAGCAAGGACCCGGGGCCTCCAGTGGGCAGGGAGGGGGCAGCAGTGAGTTCCACTGCATGCATTTATTGAGCACCTACTATGGGCAAGACCCCAAGCTTGTGTAGCAATATCTACCACTTTGATCTGTTCAGCATCCAATCCCCTTTCTTCTTATAATAGAAGTCCTATCCCCATTTTCAGCCTATATAATTTGAATGGGGCCAACCCCAACCCCTGGCTCTACTAGGGGAAGTATAACCCATCCCTGGCATATCAGAATCCCCATGATTGGTTTCAAGATGGCCCAACAAGCTGGGTCAAGGAGAATCAGCTCTGGGACTTTTGCTGGAAGAACTGAAAAGAATTTTTTTCCTTGCTAGAACTGATAAATTGGTAAGAAGTAAGCCTAGAAAGGCTGGGCCTCTCTCTGTCAATACAAAAAGGCAGAGCCCGGTGCTGGAGACCAACTCCTGCTCAATTGAGTGCCTGGATGCAGCCATGCCTGAAATCACTTATACTTTGAGTTACATGAACTGATCCTTTTTGCTTGAACCAACTTAAGGGTTTCTGTCCCTTACAACCAAGAATATGAACTAATACAGATGGACACTTGGAGGGGCACCTTGTCAAAGGGCAAGTCCCAGCCAAGGGCAGCTGGGCGTGCCCAAGCACCCTCAAGGAGCTCATTCTTCCTTAGTGCCAGTGCTTGCATAGGGAGGGTGGCCCTCCTCAGAGATGGCTGGCACCTGTCCCACCAATTAGAGAAGACTTCCTGGGCTCCCGGCCCTCAGGCTCAGTCCCTCTCAGGGAAAAGGCAGAAAACCAAAGTGTGCTTGGCCCAATCTCATCCTACCCCAGGCTGGCCTCTTTTCCATGTTGCAGCCCCAGCCAAGGGAACTTCATCATACAGAGTCCAGAAGCTTTAATACACCAACAAACACAGCCTCTGGAGGCTTGGGGGCACCCCATTCCCTGACTGCCCAGATCCTTGGAATACCTCTGGCTGCCTCACCATGGTCTGCCCTCAAGAGCTCAGTGGCCCTGCAGGACAGTGGGGACTTACCAGGACTGTCAGCACAGAGGTCCCCACAGTGACGTTCTCGTACAGGCTGACGTTGTACAGTGGCTGGCTGAAGATGGGCCTGTTGTCATTCTCGTTGATGAGAGTGATCTTCACTTTGGCATAGCCCACATGGTCAGGCACACTCTCATTGGCAAAGAGCTGGGTGTGCAGAGTGGGGGCCTGGGTAAGCTCCCACATGTTCCCAGAGCCCTCATCCCCTCAAGTCTGCCTTGGGTGTTTGCCAGTCCCACCCCACAGCACCTGTTCAAGTCCTTGCCCATCCCAGCTGTGTGGAGGGAGGGGCCAATGGGCTGGGCTGGCAGGAGACAGGCAGCTCCCGATGGGGCTTCTGAGGCTGGGATAGGGCCCCGTAAAGTTCCACTCAATTCCTGGGCATATCCTCGTCCTCCTTGAAAAGGGGAGGCTGTCCAGCCTCTGCCATCTCTCAGTGGGCTTCTCTGAGTCAGATCCACAAGGGAAAATGGGGGGAGGTGGGAGGTGGGATTTTAGGTGTTGCCCTCCCAACTTCCTGCCCTGAAACTGCCCCACTTGGCCCATGGGGATGGCGAGGGGCCGTTCGTCAAAGTCGTAGCGGTCCACGGTCTCATAGTCCAGGGGGATGGCCACACGGATCCAAATGTCCGCTTTCCCTTGGACGGAGGTGGGGGAGATGATGAAGTGGTGGGAGTTGTTCCCC